GGAATTTTTTGCTGAGCAGCACTCACACAGCATCAAAGCCTTTTCTGCTCCTGCCACCAAGCAGGCTGGGGGTGCATGAGGAGCTGAGAGGAGACACAGGCAGGACATCTGACCTCAACTGACCCAAGGAGCATTGCAGACCATCTGGCATCAGGCTCAGCAATAAAACTAGGAGTAATGTTGGCAGAAGGGTCCCTGCTCAGGACCTGGCTGTGCATTGCTCAGTGGGTCATCTGCATCTCTGGTCTTTCTTGGGTTTTATTTCTCTCTCTTTGTTATTTTCATTTTCCTTACAATATTGTTGCTGCTGTTGTTTTTATTATTTCAATTATTAAACCATTCTTATCTCAACCCATGATTTTTCTCACTTTCACCCTTCCAATTCACTTCCTTCACCCTGCTGCAGTGTGGGAGTAAGCAAGTGCCTGTGTGGTGCTTTGTTACTGGCTGAGCTTAAACCATGACACTGCTATTTCAGAGAGCAGCAACTGGGGTTTTTTCCACTCAAAAAATCCCACACAAGCAATCTGTATTGGCACAGACTTGTCTGCTGCTATTGATTTCCTGATTATTTCATGCATATGCCAAACTTACCTTTCAAATCTAAGTATGAATTCTTTTGTGGTTTCTTTGGACATGCATACTAGTCTGAATACACAGAAAAAAATCCATTCTTTTCTGTCATTCTTAAGTAGCACATGTTAGGCTACAATTCTTTAGCATATGGGAATGTTTAAAACTGAAAAAAAACCCTACTAATACCTTTTAAATTGTTAACTTCTGGTATGGTCTGAAGTCTCACTTATTTGCTAATTAAATTGTATGTTACTTGTTTCACAGATATTCTCATTTTGAACTGAAAGTTCAAAGAGGTTTCTCAGAGGAAACTTAGGATAAAATAACACCAGAAAAAAAACCAAGGAAAGATGAGAAAGTACAGATAAAATGAAAACCTATGACGTGGTTTTGCTTTTTTCAGGAGCTCTCACCCCTGTATTTTTTCCTGGCTGAAATTTTCTATAATAACATGCTGTAGAATACACACAAAAACATATTCCTTCTCAGAATGTTCTTTGCCTTGTAGTCAAATTACACCTTTAAACATTCAACTTTGACACCGTGTAGAATACACACAAAAACATGTTCCTTCTCAGAATGTTCTTCGCCTTGTAGTCAAATAACACCTTTAAACATTCAACTTTGACACCATTAGCAGATGTCCAACAACTAAAAAGCATTTCACCCAAATGATCTACTCCAACATAAAACCAACACTCATTATGTCTCTGTTTCAGCAAATGCACTATGTGTGTTTCAAGCCTGAAAATCTTATCAAACACAGCAAAGAGAATACAGGTAAATGGAGAGGGAAGAGACACACTAGTGATATATAGCCACAATAGCCATGGCTCACCTGGGGATTTTGCTGAAGAATGAGCACTGGAGTAGTGGCCACTCCTCTTTACTGTACTCATATATTTGGCACAAAGGAAAAGACATTAAGGAAAGAAGTTATTAAACAGCTCTGAACATGCATGAAAGGAAGAAGGGTAAATAAAGATAAGTAAAGACTACATGGAACAAAAAAAAAAAAAAAGGCAAGTAAATAGAAAGCTAAATATCAGGCACATTGGTTAAATCCTTCCAATTAACCAAACCAAAGGAGGTCCAAGTAGAAATAAGTAAGGAAATGACAGCACTGATTTCCAAGTACTTTGCATATAATTCACTGCTGATAGATAATCTACATGATCTCACTGGAGGTAACAGAACTGCATGAAACATAGATCATCTGAGAAACTTCCCCTCCATGCTACATTATTTTGGGATCCTTCTTTGAAGCTTTTCAGTTAAATATTCAACCTTTATAAACAGGTTATAAATATTCCACTTCAAAAAAACCCAAAGACATAAAATGACTTTAACCAGCGTCAATTAAATGAAGCAGATATTGCTGTGAAAATGAGAACATGGAACATGTTGAAGTTTTGAATACACAGACAAGATTTTACATGGATAGTTACAGTCCAAAGAGCATCCTACGTTTACATATTCAATGGTTTAATTTCAGGGCCACTTCTCCAGGACTGAGGGGAAAAAATTACTGTATTTAGAAATTAAATTCAGAGGTTAAAAAAAAATAACCTCCCCAAGTTTCTCCCTTTGTTTATTTGCATGAAAGGCTCAATGGTTGGAACATGTACAGCATATCTCCTAAAATCACTTGAAACAGCAAAATATTTCCAGCAATATTTGGCTTATAGAGGAGAAACCTTTCAAATTCAAGACTTGAGGGTACACTGCAGTTCAATGAACACAAATTTAACCACAGATTCACCCTGCAGTTAACAGCCTTCAGGAAAATCAAATGCCATGCTGAAAACATGTCCCAAGTGTACAATTGGCACAAATTATTCCAGTGTTCATAAACTGAAACTATTTCTGCCTGCAATTAAAGAATAGAAACCATATTTCTTCCCAGGCTAAAAAAATATGTGAATTTTATTTTGGATTAGTGTTAAATCTATGAGACAAACTGCAAAACCCATTTTTTTTCCTCTCAGGAGACAAAACACCGCACTCGTATTTAAGATGGGGAGAACAGGGTTTTTCCACCCCATTAAAGAAATTCTAACTTCAATCTATTTTCTGTGTTGAGCTCTTTCCTAGAAGTAGTACCTGAGGCAGGTGATTTGCTGCGACGGGAAGGTCCTGGACTTTTGGCTGCAGTTTGCCTCATGCCAGAAGATCGTGAGTAAGAGGTCTTCATAACACGACATTCTGCAAAGCAAGCAGAGAGAGCTTGGACTGTTTGTTCAGTGCAGAGGCTTCCTCCACACTCCACTGCTGCTGTTAAACACCCAGAAAATGAGCAGCATTTTCTAAACATCTTTGCCCAACTGAATCAAACATTTGCAAAAGCATCTCAGAACTCTAGCCCACTTCCCATGCAAACATATTTGAGCTACTCAAACACTGCATGTAACATTCTGCAGAGAATAGCTCTTCATGTCTTGAAGCTGGATTAGTATATCATTCAAGTCTGTACATATGCTGATGCTAAGGTGCTTCTAATAAGTCAGTAAATTCTGCAGGCTGAAAAGGCAGTGTGCAACTGCACTGCAAGCACCATTTCCCTTCTTCTGCAAGAAACTGATGCTGTGACCAATTTTGAAACAGGTGAAAAATGTCTATTGCTTCCAAAATTCTGAAACAATAGATTACTGTCATTTACCATCAGCTGTACATCACTAAATAAAGCACAACCTGAATGGAATCAATAGGCACCAAAATGAATCAATCAATACATGCATTGACATATTGGAAGCATTTTCATTCCTACAGCTAGCATTGTTAGCAAATCACTCCGGATGGAATCATATATAATTTCCTACTAACTTTGTCTCTGCTTGTCATGTTCTGCTCTGTACCTGACCTGCTTTTCTCCATTAAGACCCCCAGAGTTACTAGAAGAAGCAGGACCACCAAAGCCAGACAAAGGGAGGGAAAAACCCTCCATCACTGGGCTAGCAGCAAGGAAATGAGCCCAATTATTCAGTATCTCATGTAATAGGACAAGCAAATCTACAGCCTTAAAATCCACAAGGGAAATAAGGATTATGCCCAGACTGGAATTTGCATTGGAGTTAACACAACCATGCTCTTCCATTCTTCAGGCTTGACATAAGGAAGATCCCTCTTTATGGTGAGAGAGGTGAAACACTAGAACAGGATGCCCAGAGAGGTGGTAGATGTCTCATCCCAGGAAACATTCAGTCAGGTTCAATGGGGTTCTAAGTGACCAGAGCCTTTTTGTGAAGAGGTCCCTGCTCATTGCCAGGGATTTGGACTAGATAACCTTTAATGGTCCCTTCCAACCCAAAATATTCTACAATTCTATGAACATGAAGAAAAAACCCCAACATATATATGAGGTCCAGAGAAGAGCAACGAGGCTGGTGAAGGGACTGGAGCACAAGTGCCATGAGGAGAGGCTGAGGGAGCTGGGGGTGTTCAGCCTGGAGAAGAGGAGGCTCAGGGGAGACCTTCTCACCCTCTGCAACTCCCTGACAGGAGGTTGGAGTCAGGTGGGGGTTGGTCTCTTCTCCCAGGCAACAGCAGCAGGACAAGAGGGCACAGACTCAAGCTCTGCCAGGGGAGGGTTAGGTTGGATATTAGGAAGAGATTTTTTTACAGAGAGAGTGCTCAGACATTGGAATGTGCTGCCCAGGGAGGTGGTGGATTCCCCATCCCTGGAGGTTTCAAGCTGAGACTGGATGTGGCACTTAGTGCCATGGTCTAGT